CCATGTGGTCACCTCCTGGGCACGCGGGAATCGAACTCATGCGGAAGTGGCTTAAGCTTCTCAGTGCTGTGCTTTAACCTGCTGCGCCACCAGGGAGGGCCCCTTTTTCTGTATTTTTAAAAATAATAAAATAGTTTATTTTTACATCATTTTGTGCCTTTCCCCCTCTCAATTGTCATCCCCGTGGGCTTCCCATCACCAAATCACCCTGTGCCATCACCACAGTCCAGTGCACTTCCCCCTACCCGCACTGTTTTTGATCCCATTCCCCACTCCACCCCTGTAAAATGTCTCTGGCATATAGCTGTTCATTATTATTATTATTTTTCCCCAGGAAGGACCTACATTTTTAACACCTTTGTGGACATCCAAATGAGATTGCTAGATTATGTGGTCAGAGTATACTTGGTGTTGTAAGAGCTGCCTCACAGTTACTGTGCCATTCGGCATCCCCAACCAGTGAATGAGGCTTCCTCTGTCCCAGAGCCTTTACAGCTCTTTGTGGTGTCAGAACCTTTAATTTCCTTTGTTCCAGTAGGTGATAGTGTCTCATTATTGTTTTAACTTGCAGTTCCCTAATGACATAGAATCTTTTCAAAATGCTCATTTGCTATAGATATATCTTCTCTTGGAATGCTGTCTGTTCAGGTCTTTTCCCACATTTTAATTGGGTTTTTGTTTTTTAGTTGTTGAGTTTTATGAGTGCTTTGCATAATTTCAATTCCAGCCATTAAAAAAAATTATTTATTTATACATATAAGAGCTGGGGTGTAGGCCAGAGGTACAGGGGTTGGGATGGGGTGAAAGAACTCACCAGAGACAGAGTGAGAAACAGAACAGGTGGTTTGACTGAAATACACTGTAGAGGCAAGCAGCAGGCAAGACAGAAGTCTCCTGAGCCATGTAGGTCACCTTCCTGGCTGGGAATCGAACTCATGCTTCAGTGGCTGCTGATGGGTTTATAGTGCTGAGACTTAACCCCTTGTGCCACCAGAGAAGCCCTCTATACCAGCAAGTCCTCTTACAGAGATTTATCACAGTCTGTGATTTGTCTTCTTATCTTCTTTACACAGTGTCTTTGCAGAGCAGAATTTTTCTTATTTTAATGAAGTTTGACTTATCAGTAGATCTTACTTTAGGTGATATAGCTAAAAAGTTCTCATTAAACCTGAGTCATCTAGGACTTTTACAGTTTTGCATTTTATATTTAGGCCTATGGGTAATTTTGAGTTAATTTTCATGAAGGTATAAGATCTGTGTCTAGATTCATTGTTTTGTTTATGGATGTCTAGTTTCTCCAGCATCACTTGTTGAAAAGACTATTCTTTCTTTATTGACATGCCTTTGTTCATTTGTGAAAGATCACTTGATTATTTATGTCGGTCTGTTTCTGTATTCTTTCTGTTCCACTGATTTCTTGTCTGCCCAATGCATTTTTAATTCAGCCTGAAGATTTGAATCCACTTTATTTGTGTGTACCTTGCACAAGTATCTATAAATATCTGCATAAATATCACTTAAGAGACATATTTGCATTGCATTTTTTCAGCATCTTTACTGAAGGAAAGTGTTACAAAACATGTTCAGGCTGATGAAATGGGCCAGTGTACTCACAGCTCATTTCATGTCATTAATTAAATCACAATGGTGACTTATTGCTGGAAACATGAATGGACCTTGAAAACATTATGTTGAGGGAGATAAGTCTAAATACCATATGATATCACTTATATGTGGGATCTCAAGGTCAAACCCATTGAAAAAAAAAGGTGGAGGTAGAATACTTCACATTATCAAGTGATTTTTGAGCTTCCAGCCCAGTGAAAATTATATTCATTGAGTACCTAAGGAGGAGGTTTGATTTCACAGATTGAATTTAAAATAAATATTATAGTATTTTATATTCTTTTTAAGTATGGGGCAAGCACTGTATTTTTAAGTATAATTTTGACAAAGCAGAATTTCTCTGTAACTTTTTAATTTCAATTGGATGGTTGATTCCAATGATTATGTATTTACAAATTTCCTGATAGAACATGAAATACTTAGTAGGAATCAAGAAACTGGAGGAGAAAGAACTAAAAGAAAACAAAGGTATGAAACAGAGAATTCTGAGTGTGGGTTCCCAGGTAGCTGTCTCAGATCCTTTCTTGAAAAATAACAGATGTTATTAAAAGCATGTCACTGTTGTTATTCCTAAGGGGTCATAGGAGCAGGTGGCTGTTTCCTGGAACCAGTGATGGATGTTTGCGGTGTTGCTTCTTGTCCTCAGGTCTGAGCTCCTTCTACTCAGAGTTGATGAAAGGACTGGGTGCCGGGGGACGCCTCTGGGAGCTTATTGAGCGAGAGCCTGAGCTTCCTTTTAATGGTAGGCCCAAAACTGCTTTCTTCTTCTCTGGGGTAAACAAATGTGGCTCTGGACAGCTAGACAGCTTCTTGCTTTTCCTGGGAAGGATGAGCATGATAAGGGTGTCATCCTTGCACAAGGCGGGGGAAGGGTCACCAGAGGAAAGCTGCTGTTGTGGTGACTTGCTGCAGCTGAAGATGCCTGGAAAGTGTGGGGGCTGATGGCATGGGGTGCTGTCCACTCTGTAACCCTGCTGGTGCTGTGCTCAATTGCAGCAAGGCAGAAGTGAGCACAGCCTGGGGTGAGGGTGTGGAGAGGGGAAGAAGGCGCATCCTGGTCTGTGAAGCAAATTTGTTTTCTGTAGTGACTTTTATATTATATCAGGCATAGGAGGGAAGGAAGAGGGATCACACTATGAAAGCCTCGACACAGTTTGGCTTTGGGTTGTGGAGAGAGCAATGCTGAGTAGAGCCAGCCCTTTTTTTTTTTTAATCAGCTGTTTTCCAGGAAGGCAGTACTTCACAAGCCTGGGCCAGTGAGGGCTTTGGTGAAGTAGTGGGGAGCAGTGTTCACTCCCATCCACTGACCCCTAGGATTTTTTTGGTTAGCTCAGGTGAATAAGTGAAAGTCCAGTATACTCTCCAATGTGATAGTTTATATAAGAAATGCACCTCAATGGGAAAGACTGAAGAGTTCTCCTAACTCAGGAGTAAGGTGTTGCTGGGACAGAACACACCTCTGGCCCTCTAGCTCCATGGCTGTTATGCGGTGTCCACTTATTTGTCATCATTCTCTCAAAACACTTATTCAGAGTGAGTGAGGTAAACACTGGAAGAAGACAACTGCAGGGAGAAAGTGATTGGGTTTGAAACCAGACAGCTCCGGGTGGACACTAACTCCACTATTTGCTAGTTTGGCAGTTGTAGTCTTGAGCTTCAGTGTCCTTCCAGTAAGATGGGGCAGTAATTTCTGCCTCTCGTGGTTGGGGAATCACACAAGACAGCATCCGTAGGCAGGCACCGTAGGCATCAGACAAAGCGTCTCCCTGCTCAGAGAGTAGGGCTTGGAGTCCAGGACAGCTGTGGCAGGTGGTGCTGTCCACCTAGGTGGGAGCCAGCATTAAATTAATTCTACTCTGTTTCTATTCCAGAGGGGGTCATCTTAAGCGAGAAAAGCTTCCATGGTGCTTTGGAGTTTAAGAACGTGCATTTCACCTACCCAGCTCGCCCAGAGGTGCCCATATTCCAGAACTTCAGCCTTTCTATCCCATCAGGGTCAGTCACAGCACTGGTTGGCCCCAGTGGTTCTGGCAAATCAACAGTGGTTTCCCTCCTCCTGAGATTGTATGACCCAGTTTCTGGTGAGTAGTTTGCCCCCTGTGGGGCTAGAGAACTCTCCTGAGTTTCTACTCTTGTCCCTGGGAGAGGATCTCATTGTGCAAAGACCTTGCAGTGTGAGAGCTGTAAACACCAAGCTCTGAGGGCTTGATCCCAGGAAAAAAAATGTCTCGAACAAAGGTGTCACTCTTGGGGCTCGGACAGCTTGCTCAGAAGGTTTGTCAGCCGTTTTGACTTTCTCATGTCTCACCTCTAGCGTGACTTCCCAGAGCCCACCTGCCATCTCCCATGCTGGAGTCCCTGGTGCCCTCCTGCTAGGAGGGGGATAGGCCAGGCTGCCCAGCAGCTATAAGAAGGTCCCCCCTGGGCCCTACCCCACCACCAGCCCCGGGAAGTAAGTGCCAGGGCACCAGCTGCCGAGCAGCCCTGGGGCCTCTGGCTGCTCAAACTGTGAACTGCTCTGTGGTTAGTGTGGAAACAGGTAATGGCCACCCGTGATGCCCTGTGTGACTGCCCCAGGGAAGCTGCTTGGGCAGTAGGGATTTTCTTTATGAATCTTGTTCTGATATTATTTTATTCTTAATTATAGCATTTTTTAAAGCAGAAGACACTTTGTTTCACTTATACCCTTTTCTGTTGAGATATGATTGATAACATTATGTTAGTTTCATTTAATATATGTACATATTGCAAAATAATCACCACAATATTTTCTGGTTAACATCCGTTACCACCCATAGTTACAACATTTATATCCTCCTTTATGTCAGACCCTAGAGTTGGTATTCCATATGTGTTCTTTTGAGTTGAGAAAATATTTCCCAATAAGTGAACAACTGTTAGTAAAAATCAAAACAGAAATCTAAATAGAATGGCTTATGGTTTTTGTATGTTGCTTTTTGGTTAAAGCAGTGACAGCTGGAATATGTGCTGATAATGATTTGGCTTGCAGATCTGATCAACCACCGAATCACCAACTGTGTTAAGAGTGCTACTACATTGTCCTTGGAATCACTGTCTAATTCACTCTGTTTGCGCTAAGTCAGAATCTAAAAAAATTCTACAGGAAGACCTAATGTCTTTACCTTTTACCAGCATGGAAGGCAGCAGCCTACAGCCACTAAGGTCTGGAGCTGTGCCTGCCTCATGTAACTGGCTGCCCTTCCCCCAGCATCCTTTGGTCAAGATATTGAAAGTGGTGCTTAAGTTGTTTTGCTGAGTTACTAAGTTTTATTTGGTTTCTCCTGTGTGTACAAGAGGTATAGATGGATCATCTTTTTTGGTTAAAAAGAAAGAAAAACCCTAGCTGGTTGGATGTAAACCAAGTCAAGAATCTCATTTCTTCTTCACAGTGAATAAATTAAGGGAGAAAGAAACTACATTTAAATTCCTGCCTGTACTGTAGAACAAGTCTACTTTTTAGGTCAGAGACGCAGCTCTTCCCCAGGTTGTGAAGTTTCCAGCCGCTGTTGTGACTCACAGCGCTCGCTGAGAAGACGCGGCTCCCTCTGTGGCCGCTAGATGTCCTCTTCCTGATCCTGGCCCACTTGTTGCACCCCCTTGCAGAGTTAATCCTGTCAGCTGCTTCTGGTTGCTTAGATGCTCTGCCCCAGTATCAGTGAGATGCTAGTTACTTGTAACCAGTTCTCCGAGTTACCTGCAGGGGAGGGTATTTTAAGGAGTTATGAAGGTGTTCGGCGATCTCCGGCAGGGCTGGACTTTGAGTACATGACCCCATCCGGACCTCCCCGCAGAGCCAGGTCTTCGGGGGTAGCTGCTGGTGCTGCTGTGGTCAGGAAGCTGGAGAACGGGGCAGCCGCTGTCCATCGAGGGTTCAGCTTCAGGCTGTGTCCCTTCTTCTTGTATTTGCACCAGCAAGTGACACCTCATGGCTTGCCCCTCTTCCCTGTAACTCCGAGTCAGAGCTTTGCACAGGTGCGCTTCTGTGGACACTGAGTCACTTTAGGGAGTCCGGAAAGCTGCCGCAACTCTGGGTGCAGGCAGCCTGGGTGGATGAACTCTGGGGCTAGTCGGCTAACCTTTGAGGGAGCGAGTAGATCTAGAGAGTCTGAGGTATGCTGATTTTAGTTTCTGTTTGGAGATTGTGAGCATCTTTCACCTCTAAGAAGCTGAGTCTGAAGTCTGCATGCGATTCTTTGTCTTTACATTAGTCATTGGCTACAGGATGCTCAGTGACTCTTTTGTTTTCTCTTTACAAGGAACGATCAGTCTGGATGGCCATGATATCCGCCAGCTAAATCCTGTCTGGCTGAGATCCAAGATGGGGACAGTGAGTCAGGTAGGAGAGGGTTCCATTTTTATTAGACTTTCATTTTAAACTGCCTTTTATCAATTTTCTTGGCCTTCAGCCTCTCAAAAGAGAAGGGATATAAGCTTGCTGGTGTATTGAAGTAATCTCACGTGGCAGGTTGCTTGGGTTGGTAAATAGTGCTGTTACTAAAACCTACACACTTAAGCTAGTTGACACATTGAATTTTTTTTTTAAAAGATTTATTTATTTGCGCATACAGAACTGGGGTACAGGCCAGAGGCTAAGGGGTGGCGAGAGGCTTCACCAGAGATAGAGTGGGGAGCAGAACAGGCAGATCGACGAAGAACACTGCTGAGAGGAGCAGCGGGCAGGTCAGGAGAGGTCTGCTGCGCCATGTGGTCACCTTCGGGGCAGGCGGGAATCGAACTCATGCAGAAGTGGCTTTAGCTTCTTAGTGCTGTGCTTTAACCCGCTGCACCACCAAGGAGTTCCCGACACATTGACTTTTTAATCAAAAGCTAGAAAGTCAGGATGGGGGGGAATGATATAAATGTTTAGCTTCTACTGACTCTTCAAAAATCCCACTTTCATTACTAGTCACAGTCTGTTGGTTTGCATAAGGGATTTCAGGGATAAGCAAGCAAAAGACTATGGCAAAAATCAGGGTCTTTGGAAAGAGGCTGCAGATTTCCAGGCAGAATAGTAATGGAATGTGGCGTTCTGACGAGAACATTTTCACCAGATCCTTTGACGCAGGAACTGTCTGAAATACCTGCTTACAGGCTTTGTGCCCGGGCATAAACCCAAGCTTCCCCCACTTCTGGGGGACAGGCACCTCGACCTTGCCCATATGCCACCCAGTAGTGATAGGAGCTCAGTAGTGGGAGGCTGGATACATATTATGCAGAGGTGGGGAAAAGGAGCTGGGTGTCTTTGCTCTCAGGACTAGTCCACAGATCTGTCAAAATGTCATGTTCCCATTTCGTTTGTATATATTCAAGGTGGAATGGAGTGGATTCTCCCTCTGTCCTTAGTGGAAGACACAGTGGAAAATGTTAATGGACTTGGGTCTTTCAGTGCTGCACAACTCCTGGGAGGGGGAGCTTGCATTTAGGAGCGCCTGCGAGGTGCGCCAAGCACCGTGCACGCAGCTGCTGTGGGGCCTTAACCGGCAGTGTGGGGCAACTGCAGGTGATAAAGTCACTCCAGGGCAAACATGAACTTTTTAAACAAGTTTACTGGGTGAATTTATAGGGAATTAAGAAGACATACTCTTTAGGAGCAGCATAATCATTTAATATAAGTATTATATAAAGTTCTACTTTATTTACTAGATATATTTGATTTTAAGTCACTCAAATACATCTCAATTTTAATAAGATCCTCTATACACACACTTGCTACTAAAAACTGACATGGTACCTCAAAATTTTTTGACAATTCAAAATGTCTGGAAGCCAGGAAGCCTAGTCAAGGCACCCTGCCCATGGATCGTAGTTTACTTTCCTCCCACACACGTTATTTGCTCAAAGTTCCCGTGTTGCGTTTCATCCTACTCGCCTCTGGCCTCTCTACTCTACACAGACAAGACCTACTAGTGCTTCTCTGAGTCGAATGAAAGAGTGTAGGTGAGTGCCCTGAACTCATTCACCGGCAGGCAACACCAGGTCGCTTCAAGTTACTGGCATCAAGTTAGAAAAGAGACACAAGAGGACGACGCGTCAGAACTTGCGCCGCAGGTCACACCCCGCGCGGGCTCCCGCAGCACTGGGCAGCACTGGGCAGCTCTCCCGGCTGCTGCACAGCGGCCCTAGGACTGCCGTCAAGAAAGGACAGCACGAGAAGACGGGTCCGGCTGGTCGTTTCTGTGTCAGATCTCTCCTCCATGCAATCTTCTGTTTAGGGAAAACTGAGACAGCAACCAACAACACAGTGAATGTTTCTTTTTCGTTGGTTAAGGTTTAGATGTCTGATTTCGTCCCCCTTCCCTTCAGTTCATTCTGGGCCATCATCAGTGTCTGTGCCATCCCCAACCCCTGTAAGATCTTCTCTTAGTGCTCCTGTTGGGTGGGCACCTTGGGAGAGGGGTAGGGAGCTTTGCACTAGGTGGGGGTCAAGTGCTGTGATTCTTTATGAGCCCTCCTGAGGTAGGTTGTGAGGCAGCTGAATCATCCTGAGAACTGTCTTCAGTGGACGTGTGAGACAACTCTCAGGTCAAACTGGTTCACATTTCTTCGATGGCCCCATTGGGGTCTGTCTAGTCACAGCTTGAAGCTCCTCCAAGATCTTGGTTTGGGCAGAAGGTGATGTTCAAATTTCAGCAGAATAGCCTGGAACAAAATAAATAGCCCAGAAGAGAATGAGAAAAACCCAAGCCCCTCCAAAACCAAGGAAAGACTCTTATTAGATATATTTGAAACCTGTTTTGAAGTTTTCAGTAAATACATTTTATTTTGATTTTGTAGGAACCAATTTTGTTTTCGTGCTCAATCGCTGAGAACATTGCTTATGGGGCAGATGACCCTTCTTTGGTGACTGCTGAGCAGATAGAAAGAGTGGCTGATGTAGCCAACGCAGCTGCTTTTGTCCGAAATTTCCCTCAAGGATTCAACACTGTGGTTGGAGAAAAGGGCGTTCTCCTGTCAGGTACCTTTGCAGTGATGGTGGCTCCTCTCCCAGGCACATGTGGTACAGTATTACTTTCTAGTTAGAAAACACCAGGTTTTCTCAGAGCTTATGACATTATAAAATCTCCTCTATATATGGACAAGAACTGGAGTATAAGCCAGGGGTGTGGGAGGTGAGAGGATTCACCAGAGACAGGATAAGGAGCAGAACAGGAGGGCTGACAGAAATACCTGCTGGGTAAGCAGCAGGTAAGGCAGGTGCACCACCTCCCTGACTGGGATCTAACTCGAACTGCAGTGGCTGCTGATGGCTTAATAATGCTGAGACTTAACCCCTTGTGCCACAAGGGAGACCCTACAAGAGCATGTATAGGGGCTTACTCTATTGTTGCCTCCAGTTTCATTTGTACAAGTTTTTCCCTAGGGCAGGGAAAGAGAGAATAACATTGAGAATGGCAAGTGCTAAGAATAGTGCTCTGAGGCAGAAGAGTAGGATCATAAACCCTCGCATCACTGATACCCTTTGCCCCTTCCACTTAACATGTTCAGAGTCCTGTCAGTGTGTTGAGTTCTGGTCTCCTGGCCATGTTCATATTCTGTTAGGAGGTGGTACCTGTAGTAGTTGAAAGCACAGCCCTTGCCTCTGTTTAGGGTGAGACCGTGGCTCTGGCACTCACCAGCTGTGAAATCTTGGACAGAAGATTTTGTGTCTCATTTTTCATCTTTAAAAGGAAAATAATGAGACTATGTATACTTCATAGGCATTTAAAAAATAGTAAGTGATATAATGCAGGTGATACATTTAGAAAGTGCCTGGTACATGGAAACTCCTCAATAAACGCTAACTGTAATATGTTATGATTAATTTTGAAATTAAAACGACAATATATTTTAAAAATAGGTTTCTGTCTACCAACTATGTCAGCTATGACTGACTGGAAGAAGCTACATTGAAATCGCCACATGTCCTATCAGAAAAACCTATTATCAATAGTATGTCACGTCTTTCAATTAAAATTATATATATTGCTATTGTCAGGTGGCCAGAAACAGCGAATTGCAATTGCCCGTGCTCTGCTTAAGGTAAGCCTGAGCCATTTGGCTGGGATTTTTTGTTATTGATTTAATTAGAGACCTTATAATATGTAATTTCCCTCCTCATCACCCTCCCCACTGCCTTTTTTCCAAGTGAAAAGATAGGGATGATTGATAGTTCTGGTTGAAGATGGGATTTGAATCCTAGCCCTTCAGACTCCCCAGTCCTCACTCTTAACAAGTATCCTGGGGGTAAAGCCCTTCCCAGTTCTGGTGGGAGATGAGTGGAGAGAGCACGTGGTGTCTGTTGTCCCAGTTTAACAAGCACTTCGTCTGTATTAGGAGCCCAGTGGTGTGCTAGGTTTGATGGAGGAGAAAGGTTAGCACGTGGACCTTCCATAGCACAGTTTCACCATAACCAGTAAAACACTGACCAAGTCAGAGTATCAAAACAGTACAGGTGCACTTATTGATATAATCTGGAATCAACTATTTAAACCAAATGGTACAGATTTGAAATACTTACACTAAACTCCTAGGAGGAGAGAGAAAGGTCATTTTAGCTGAATGCCATAGATATCATAATTTTTAGGAAATTATAGCCTTCCCTTTTGTTATGAAACAACTCCCTTAGATTTATACATGATTTGGGGGGGGGGACCAGTTTTATTTCCACATAAATTTAGAATCGTATAACCATCACATAAACCAATTTTTGAACATTTCTGGTACACTATATTAAGGTCCCTTGTATCCACTGGCAGTCTCTCCCCATTCCTACCTCTAGCTCCAGTGAGCATTTACCTGCTTTCCATCTATCTAGATGTGCCTTCCTGGAAATTTCAGATGTATGAAATCAGGCAAGATATGGTCTTTTGCTTCTAGCATCTCTCTAATGTTTTTCTGGTCCCTTCAGGTTGTAACTTACATCACTGCTTCATCCCTTTCTGTTGCTGAATGGGCTACAATTTGTTTATCCACTCACTGGTTGATGAGTATTTGCGTTTTTTCCAGTTTAGGGCTATTGTGAATAGTGCTGCTATGAATAGCATAAAAGTTTTGGTGTGGACCTATGTTTTCATTTCTTATGAATAGATTTCTAGGCAAAGCTAAAATATAATGTGCTGTATGTGTGTGTGTATTATATATAGTATTATATATATATAACACATTAAATACACACACATACATACACATATGAATTTTTATTTTTTTGTGTTGTTTTATGATGCTCCCAACCAAACTAAGCAGGACTTTGAGTCTAGACTAGTGTTATTCCTTTCCAGTCCACCTCACACAGTTAGTTGTTGACCAGCAGAACAAAACTGCACAATGAGCAATATCCGGTGCAGTGATGATGGTTTAAAATCATCCCAACTCTTACTTTACATACTTCAGACATTTAAGGGTTTTGTTTTTTTTTTTTTGTAGCAGCTTTATCGGTATATGACAATATAACATACCATACAACTTGCCCATTTAAAGTGTGCAATTCAGGGGTTTTTGTGTGTTCAGAATTGTGCATCCATTCACCATAATTAAAATTTTTCATCACCCCTAAAAGAGACCTTATGCTCTTTCTCAGTCACATAAACATACCCCACCATGATCTCCCCATTGGCTGTAGCCCCAGATGACCCGAGTCTGCTTTCTGTCTCTAGAGATGTGCATATTCTGGGCAGTCATATAAGTAAAGTAAGAGTCATACAACGTGTGACGTTTTGCATCTTAACAGTATCAGTCCTTCATTTCTTTTTATTACTGAGAGTTTGTATTTTTCTAACAAAAGTATGGTTTTAATGTTTTTCTTCTTCCAGAATCCCAAAATCCTTCTCCTAGATGAAGCAACCAGGTGAGAATATCTTAACACTATGTGTAATTGTATTAAACCAAATTCTTCCTTAATAAGGACTTGCTCTTCTGTACTTCAGTAATACAGTTGAAGAGGCCTTCCCCTCTTATGCTTTAAGATGACCAAGTTTGGATTCATAATGACAGTTGGGAGGCTGTGGGCTGGCTCAATCATGAGTTTAGGATTCTAGTTTCAATTCAGATACATTTGTGATGAATCCCTAATCACGCTCATCAGTAACTATGCAGAATGCTTGTCTTGTCAGAGGTCACAAGCTTCCTTTCTATAGTAACATTATAATACAGAATATAGAGAGAGAATAAAGAAGTTGCAGTTTTGGTCCTAGTAAATATTCACTGATAATGGCTACTTTAGGTGAAACAGAAAATACATGAGTATACATGGCACTGACATCTTTGCTTTCTCAACGGGCTTTCCTATTTAAGTGCATTGGATGCTGAAAATGAGTACCTTGTACAAGAAGCTCTAGATCGACTGATGGAAGGAAGAACAGTGTTAGTTATTGCCCATCGCCTGTCCACCATCAAGAATGCTAATGTGGTAGCTGTTCTTGACCAAGGAAAAATCACTGAGTATGGGAAGCATGAAGAACTACTTTCAAAACCAGATGGGATATACAAAAAATTAATGGACAAACAAAGTTTTATTTCAACATAAAGGAACAGTTGCTGGTAAATTGAATGAGACCTTACTGCAAAAGAGTATTACAGAAAAAAAAGATTATATGAAGTCTTTAAATCACACTTCAAGTTGTTTGAAATATGCCTATTTTTTCAAAGTTCGTAAAATAATCGTTTTGAGATACTTTCCTCAAAACTTTTTTATTAAGCATTTTAATAATCATAACTTTTTTAATGTCTATACCACTGAAGTTATTTTTAGGTTTTATACTTTCTTTTTACTTGGAATATTTTAATTAATGTAGGGATAGCATGTCACTTTCTTTCTCCTGCTGTTATAGACCGAAGTTATTGTCCAAATGACAACTTTTAAAAGGGAATTATAAATAAAATGCCTAATTGTTTTAGGCCAGTTTACCAATCCCTGTGTAATTCTCTTGGTGTACTCTACCTACTTTGTTTTACTAGGTATGCGATAGAAGACACAAATATAGCCATTTTATCCTGATAATCTTGTATCATGAATGTGACTGAGACATACATTGAATAGTTAACGTCACAGGTGGGAAGAGACACTTTATATCCCCCATCTCCTGTGTCTTCACAGGTGTGAGAGTTTCAGTGTGTTTTTCTGGGATGAGACTGTTTGGATGTATGTAGTTTTCAATATTTTGGGCGTATGTGAGTCTGATGAGTTTTCAAAAGTAAAGAATGCCTTTGAATAGAAAAGTTCTATTTTCATCATTCACTTATTGGTTTCTATTAGTATTTTGGGAAGTATGAACTGCCAGATGTTATCAAGAAAAATGTGAAACTGTATTTAACATATATGTTGTCTGAAGGCATGTATTTTGAAAATTACATCACAAAATGTATAATTTCCAGTCAAATTTTACAACTTTTTATGAGATATTTAAATAGTTTTGGAATTTCATTCAGTGAAGCTAAAATCTGAATCAGTAATTGTCAGCCTTAAAACATTTGAAGATAATTTGAAAGTTCTTGCTAGTCCATAAAATGTCAATAAATTTTAAGAACTTTTTAATCTTCTGAGAAGTAGAATGGTTTCTAAGGCTATAGTTTTCTTTCTTTTCACCTAAATGTCTCAAAATTCCTAAAGCAATGCTGACAACCATTGGATTTGACATGTTCCATATCAGTGCTGTTAATTTGCTGTTGCCTCAAGAAAAGGTGCTTTTTATATACAGTAGTGATATCCGGACTTAAGTAGTAATTATGTTGACACAATTAAAACTTTATTTTCTTCATGTATTCATTAATTTCTTGTTTATGCTGGAAGAAGAAACCACTATTTTATGATAAATGTGAAGTGTTATATTTCAATATATAAGGGAATTTATTAATGAATAAAATTCAGTGAAATAATGAACTGAGTGTTCTTTGAATTAGTGAACACTATATCTGTGACAATCATTTTTGTTTTGTTAAAGATTTATTTTTTATTTATACATACAAGAACTGGGGTATACATCAGATGTGTGGTGAGGGGGGCGGTGGGGTGGTGAGAAGATTTCACCAGAGAGAGTGGGAAGCAGAACAGGTGGATCAACTGAAATACACTGCTGAGGGGAGCCGTGGGTGCTGCAGGAGAGATCTGCTGCACCATGTGGCTTTGCTCCCCAGTGGGGGATTGAACTGGCAAGAGCTTGATAGTACTGAGACTTTCAATCCCTGTGCCACTAGGGAGGCCCTTCTGTGATATCATTTTAACACAAGTTCATTTGTATTCTTTATATAGTTTGCTATTATGGTGTGCATCTTAGAAAGGAAACAAAACACAATTACAGAGTTGGAGCTGAGGGACATATCTATGTGCCATAGAAATATTTACAAAACTTGAATGTGATTATGTTTTATTTTCTAATAAAGATGCTCAATTTTTCTTTAGGTAACATTTTATAATGTGGATTAAAATTTATAAAGAGCAAAGAAAAGGCCACACTATGTCTTTTTTTTACACTTATATACCATAACACTTATCACATAGGTAATCAATAAATCTGTAATGAATGCATGATCATACTTCTTCAGTTATCATATGTCTGGCTCCTGATTTCTTGCTCAAAAGTGATGGCAAGTGGTTCCAGCTCCTGCAAACAGCAGCTTTCAATAGACAAACCACTAACCAGTCCAGTAAAGCCCAAATATAAATTCATCCTACAAATTCTCTCTCAGATAAGGCTATTCTCCAAAGAAGAATGAAACAAGACTGACATATACTGGGCTTTTAATAACTATAAAACTCAAATTCAAGGTGCAAAGTTGAGTTAGAAGTCTAGGTGAAAAAAAGGAGCAAAGCAACCTGCCTCTATTGCCTTGGGGAGATGGCTGCCCCGTGCTATTAATGTGCAAAAGAAATGGCTTTCCCTGGGGAGTGTCAACAACTGAAGCCACATGGTGATGGCACATGTATGGACATGCCAGTATTAACTAGTCCCTTATTTCAACAAATATTTAAAGTCTATTGTGTACTATTATGGTATACACAAAGATAACAGCCACTGCCCTTGCTAAACATGTAAAGGCAGGAGTTACATGACAGTTCTGTAATTGTTATGACAAGTAAAAATATAAACAGCCCACATAAAGGTGCTCGGGGTGGGGGCGGCAAAGGATGCCGCATACGTAAGTCACTTCTGAGAAGACGCAAAAAGTGGGTCAACAGGGAAGACAGGGCATTCCAGGCAAAGGCATTGGAAAGGAATATGGATTTTTATCCCTAGACTTCTAGTGGGAAGTGCAAGGGCAGTGATGGAAGTAAAGTAGGGACAGAAAAGCCACCCAGAGTTAAATCACAAAGACCTTGCAGTGGCGTTTGGCATGTTACCTATAGTCAATGACCAGCCACTGGAGCATTTACATGGTCAGGGCAGCTTTGGATCTTCGTAGTTGTTTGTGCTGGCAGTGAGTAAGGCTAAGTGAGGTAGGGCTACACAGAGCAAGGAGACCCCCCCAAAAAAAAATCGAAAAAATAGGGGGGAAGTCAATACCAGAACCAGGGCAGATATGAGATCTAGAGCTACTCAGGAGCTGCGAAGTTTACAGGTTTCTTCCCCTTCTCTCTTCAGGTTGAATTAGGGAACAAAAACTTCATTTCCCAAAGCTCTCAGAGGAAGATCAGCGTGCAAATGGCTTTGCATTCCACTGCCGAGGGCCAGTCCCACCCACGGGAGTAGAGAAGGGCACCCGCCTTTGCAGCTTCTTTCGCCAGCAAGAAGGAAACTTTAAAGACTTTCCAGCCAGGGGCCGCCCGCAAGCCCCCAGTCCCGTTCGTCTCTCCAGCTCCGCCTCTACAGCCACGCCCCGAGGGGGTGGGGTGGAGACAGTCTGGCGTCATCAAAGCGCGCGTCTCCCCGGACCACGCCCCTATGCGACGCAGATCATTGAAATCATCACCGTGCGCCTTCCACCTCTGGAGTGTTCAAGCTCCGAGCGCGGGCAGACCCAGGTCTTGGAAACCGCGCGCTCGCTGGTACCGTTCCCTGCCCTCATGTTTCCTACCGTCTCCTCTCCGCGAACCCCGGGGCCTGGGTCCCGAAGGGGCCCGCTGGGCGTAGTTGGGCCAGGCTCCACGCCCCGGGCAGCAAGCAGGAAAGGTCTGTCCCTTGGGTCAGCAATCAACTCCCCGGTGCTCTTCTCGCCGGTCGGGCGGCGGAGCTCGCTGAGCTCACGGTAAGTGACGGTCGGGGTTGGGTCTAGCTACGGGCAGACTCCGGGACCCGGCGAGCCTAATGGGGTAGTGTCTTCAGAAGCTTCCGAAACTGGGCGTGGGGAGAAGAGGGAAGATGCCAGTCCTGGGAAAGTAATTCATCCTTGCGAATTCTTTCAACCTCACTCTGATAATTCTTCGAATCTTAGCTTTGCACTTTACATGGAATTAGCTCTTGTGTAAAGGTGAAGAACAAGTTGATTTGAATCAGTGGTTACCTGCTTTCTTCATATTACTCCTGTGATGTAGTATAAGTCATTCACGATTCTCTTATGTGAAATGACGATGATAATATCAGACTTAACCAAGTTCAGTCAGACCAAAGCGTCAATATGAAATTACCATCCAGACGTGGAATGTGGGGACGAGCCGCCAGTCCCGGAAAATATGTAGAATATAAAACATGCAAGTCGCCAATGTCTCCTGATTGGTAATTAAAGGGCTTTTGACTTTGTAGCTAAATTAAAAGGAAAAAGACTTTCCATAAGTAGTGAGATAAGAATAGTTTTGTTAGCAAATAAAAATGGGTGCCAGTTGACATCACTGGAAAAATCAAATTCTGCAACCCTCCCCCCCACTTTGCTAATCAACTAGAATTTAAGCAGGTAGCTTGTTTCTGAGTAGTTTCCTCTGAATTCGTCTATCAGAAATAAATGTCCCCACTTCAGGAAAACAGTAATATTGGGTCTTAAACCTATATACTTAAACTGTCTGTGGAATTTTGCAGTACTTTGAAGGAGAAATGATTTTTAAAGAATTCAGTTTTGTTGGCTGCTGTATTTTGAAAGTGCTCTTCAAAGCACTAACAACAATTGTCAAGTGTTTTTTACTCCTTTTGAGAATAAAACCAGAATAAAAAGAATAAAAATCATGCTTTTATATACTTTTTTAAGTCTCCTCTTTCTGGTGACATTAAAAGAAAAATCTTTGTAATACTTTGTCAGGGATCAAAGCTCTCCACTACTCTGTATTTACATCTTCTTATTTAATCCTGGTAATAAGAAGTTAATAGCCTTTATGCTAGCCTTTACAATTTTTTCCTGAGTGTTAAAAAAGGTGAGAAGAAAATAAATTCTACTGTTGCATCTGCTTTTATGTCAGGTAACAACAGATCTTCATGAATGTTGAATTCTTGCTTGATTGTACATATCTGGTTGGTTTGTCTAATTATGGAGCTGATGAGAGCTTGAAAAGAATCTAACTTAATGTGTTAAGGCTTTTTTAACTACAGTGTCTGAGAAGCTCTCTCCATATATTTAAATGTAGATTGAGACCCTCAAGATGACCCATAATTTAAAAAAATGAGTCCAGCCCAACCTTACTATTTCATTGCTAGTAGAGCAGGGTTATAAAAAGTTTTAAGTAAGTAGAATGTATATCTAATTTATCTAATTATGAGAATGTGAGAATTTGAAATTAAGTTTTTTTCAATCCTGTCAAGAATTTTTTTTTTTTAAGATTTACTCCAGCATACCAAGCTTGGGTACAGGCCAGAGGTGTAGGGGTGGTGAGAGGGGACAGAGTGGGTAGCAGGACAGGTAGATCGAAGAAGTATACTGCTGAGGGAAGCAGTGAGCAAGTGAGACAAGAGAGGTCTGCTGCACCATGTGGGTCACCTCCTGGGCCAAAGATCAGACTGGCAAAGAAGCGGCTGTGGCCAGCTTGCACCGCTCCATCCTAACCCCTTGCACCACCAGGGAGGGCCTTGTCAGGATTTTTTTTTTTTTAATGAAAGATGCACTTAACGCTGTCTGAGTCAATGTTTATTTCACTGTTAAACCTCATCTTGTTTATTAAGGGTTTTTTATTGTGAAATTACATGTACAAAAATTAGGATAATGGAAAAATTTAAGTTATGGGTAAAATAATATGGTCTCTTTCTGTAGAGGAACACCTACACGAATATTTCCATATCATTCCATAACTGATTCTACAAACTATGATGTAAAAACATTTGGATCATCTCTTCCTGTTAAAATCATGGAAGCGCTAACGTTGTCTGAAGGTGAGTGCCATTATCCACTTATTAGCAATTCAAAATGAAGGCTAGATCTAGCATGGAGATGGACATTTGTACTTTCTTTACCTTCACCTAAATGGGGAAAAACAGATAAACTGTTTCCTTACTGTAACTGAGAACATGATTTCTCTTTAAAATGTTTATATTTAATGAGAGGATTTATTATTTGTGTTTCTTTATCAAAGTAGAATTACAAATGTTGTTAAATATTATAGAAAGTAGGATTGGGAGACCTGGAGAGCCACTTGCAAAAAATAAAGCAAGACCCATATTTAACACCATACATGAAAATCCACTCAAAATGGATTAAAGACTTCAACGCAAGAACTGAAGCCATAAAGAATTTGAAAGGAAATATAGGGAACACGTTACAGGACATCTACCAGATATATATATGGGAACACAACCCCAGCAGCAAGGGGAACAAAAGCAAAAATAAGTAAGTGGGACTGTATTAAACTTAAAAGCTTTTGGACCTCAAAAGAAACAATCACAAAAACAAGAAGGCAATCTATAGAGTAGGAAAATACACTTCCATACCATACATCTGATAAGGGGTTAATCACCAAGATTTACTGAGTACCTAATAATCCTCAACAAAGAAACAAATGACCCAATTAAAAAATGGGCAAAGGACCTCAATAGACTCTTCTCTAAAGACATTCAGATGACCTATACACATATGAAAAAATGTCTAACATCACTTATAAGAGAAATGCAGATAAAAACCACACTGAGGTACCAACTCACCCCTGTGAGAATGGCCCATATAAAAAAGAATTAAATTAAAAAGGAACTCTTATCCACTATTGATGGGAATGCAGATTGATACTGCCCTCTGTGGAAAATGGTAGATGTCTCAAGACAATAAATGGAAATCCTGTTGAATCCAGCTATACTGCTATTAGGTGTTTGTCCAAACATGAAAAATTTAACATGAAACAATCTGTATACACCTGTGTACATAGCACATTGCCAAATTTTGGAACCAACCCAAGTCCCCTTCAACAGATGAATAGATAAACTGTGTAGTATATATTGAGTAGAATATTAAACAGTTGTGAAGAAAGATGAAGTATTGATATTTGGCACAAAATAGATGGGCCTTGAAGGTGATTATGTTGAGTGAAATCAGTCAAAAAGGGTAAGATAGATTTTGTGTGGTTTTACTCATCTGTGGAGTACAAATGCCCCCCAAAAACAGTTACCTACAAATAATAGAAGAAATAAAAATTTGAACTCATCAAAAAAGAAGATAATGGTTAACAGAAGGAATGCAGGGGAGGATGGAGGAGATGCGGGAAGGAGGGAGGTGGGCCATGGGCATGGGTGGCTTCGTGGAAGCTAGAGGAAAAGAAGAATGTTTTACCACAAAAGTTAAGAAAACGTTGGCATAAAAAAAATTTCTTACCTTCAAATATATTTCTAAACATGACTATAGAAGTTAAACGTCTCTCTTGTTTTAACTTATTTCTGAATTATTTAAGAGTTTTTTTTTGGTTGTGAATCTTACTTCTGTATGGTAAGGTTTTGATAAGATGTGGCAATAGACTCCTATGTTTGACTAAGCTGTACCTCCTTCCTTTAAACAGTGTCCACTTACGAGTAAATGGATAATTTCATGTATAAGGAGGAAGTAGTAGAACAGGTAGGGAGAAAATGGAAAGAATCTTTAATGTAGAACTATCTACTCTGCAGGGTGGTAGTAAGGGTAAAAAAAAAAAAAGAGAATGTGGCAATAAAGATTTTGGTATACGGAAATTTTAATAGTTTTTTCTTATTCATACTTTTAATTATATACTTCATTGTTTTCTTTAGTTGATGATCAACTGACTGTTCACATAGATGAAGGTGGATGGGCTTGTCTGGTCTGCAAAGAGAAACTCATCATTTGGAAAATTGCTCTGTCACCTATTACTAAGGTAATGACTAGTGAGCTAGAAGAAAATTAAAAAAAGAGTTATCACTCGGCTCTTAATTTTAACCCTAAATTTTCAGAGTTGTTGGGGGATAGTAATCTGATTAGCATTTTATTGATATACTGAGCTAAGATATATGTTTGTATATCTGGAAAAAAGTTTCACTTCTTTCTTTAATAACTTCATTATTTTTAAAGATTTATTAACTTATGCATACAGAACTGGGGTACAGGCCAGAGGTATGGGCAGTGAGAGGATTCACCAGAGACAGTGAGGAGGAGAAGAGGCAGACTGACAAAGTACACTGCTGAGGGGAGCAGTGGGAGAGACAGGAGAGGTCTGCTACGCCATGTGGGTTAGTTCCCTGGCTGGAGATTGAACTGATGCTACAGTGGCTGCAGATAGCTTCATGGTGCTGTGCTGTAATACATTGTACCACCACCAGGGAGAGCCCCCTTTAATAACTTTAAACAAGAGCCATTTTGTTTATACTCAATAAAATTAGAGCTTTGGGAATTTTTTTAAAATGTCATGTGAGCCGTGTAAGGTAATGGAGTTTATTTATTTCTTTAGCTTCTCAGTGCTGTGCTTTAACCCGCTGCGCCACCAGGGAGGGCCCGGAGTTTATTTATGTCTAAGATTGTGTTTCACTGAGTCTACTGAATGATGTTTACTAAAATAGTTTTAATATTTAGTACTTAGCAATAGTTTTTACCATGGCTAATGTAACTTACAGCTGTCAGTTTCTTTCACAGGGGTTACCTTTATGTCCAATAACTTACTTCACAAACTTTTTCTGTTTCTTATCAGGCATAGTCTCTTGTACTACTCATCATGACTGACTGGGCCATTGTTTCATTGGAACTCAGGGTGCCTGCTTTTCTAACTCTCCATGTCTGAGGCTTCTGTACTGCTGCTGTCTTGAAATAATAATATAGAGCAGAAGTGAAAGAGATGTCCTGAGGGCATGATGAGCTAGCAAAAGGAGCCAGATATTCAGCCAAATCTAAGCTATTTTCTAGACATTTGGTATAATTATTTTGTAGTCATGCTGACTTTAAATGTTAAACAAATCAACACTAGACTGGAAAAATTCCATAGGAAGTTGTGTACTTAACAGACTTTAGTTAGGAAGAGATTAGACTAGCTGATATTCAGGGTCCAATCTAGCTCTTAAATTTTCCTGATTCTACATCTCTTAAGCTAATGTGTTTTCAAATTTCTGGAAGGCATTAGGAAAGCCTGATCAAAAAGATCCAGGAGATAGTTTTTGTGGAATGGTATAGTGATGAGTCAGAATCTAAAATATGCAGAGAAAGGAAATAGCGAAGCTAATTTGCATATTCAGAAAATTGGGTTTGACATGGCATATTTTTGTTTGGGTTTGTTCTGTAGTTATCTGTTTGCAAAGAACTTCAGCTGCCACCCAGTGATTTTCACTGCAGCGCTGACTTAGTTGCTCTCTCTTACTCTGCTACCTCAGGTGAAGCACATTCTGCTCAGGTAAGTCACCTAAGTGTTCATTGAAATATGTTTCTTAAATAAGGGAGTCTACAGTTGGAGGAATTATCTTACCCAGTGCTAAAACATAGCTGTAAAACTACTGGAATCAAGACACTATCATATTGGCTAAAAGATGGACAAATAGGACAGTGAAACAGAATAGCCAGTAGAGACATAGATGTCTCCACACATTTATTGTTTTTTGGTAGAGGTGTGAAAGGAGTTCGGTGGTCTTTTCAGTAAATGGATTGGAATTATTTGTCATTCTTATACCAAGATAAAAAAATTTCTCCTTGTACCTCATACTTTAGACAAACACAGAATCAACCACAGATCTAAATGTAAAGTGTAAAACTATAAAATTTTATAAGAAAACATGACTTGGGATTAGAAGAGTTTTTGGAAATCATCAAAAGCAAGAGTTATGAATGAACTATCCTTATTGTGATGGTACACTCATGAGTCTATACGTCTATACATGTCTTAAAATTCATAGAATGGCAACAAAAGAAAAAGTCAATTTTACTGTATGATTTTTAAAACATAAAAAGTTTTTATTTCTGATTTTTGTTAAATAGTACTGCCCTAAATTTTTTTTTTTTAATCAGTGTGTTAGAATTCCAGTTTCTGGAATTCTACTGTCCTTTCTGAGTGATATGCTTTTGTTTCCAGGCTGTTGCTGTTATGATTGCCACCAGAGAAGGATTTATCCGCTATTGGCCAAGTCTTGCTGGCGAAGAGAACTACACAGAGACTTTTATAGACTTGGGAGGGGATAAGACTTACAGTTTCCTAACAGCAGTGCAGGTATGGGATGAATGGGGGAATTTACATTTATTGGTAAACTGTAATTTGTCTTGGAGGTGAAATTTGAAAAGGGTGGAAGTTTGAACAAATGACAAAGCTAGGAAGGGTCAAAGAGAAGGATTTAGGATTTGAACACTTAGACAAAGGGATACCCTTCTTATAGGACTCTGAAATATCAATGTCACAGAAACATTTTACAAGTGATTTAGAAACTGTTTGAACATTATGAAGAAAAGTCTGCTCAATATACTCTACAGAAATAAAATCTGATGCTTGAATTGTTGAACTAGCAGTATGGTGAACCTATAATTTAAAGACTAGAATTTCAAAAATGCAACTAAAAAACTGCAACAAGTTTTTCTATGTAGAATTAATAAGTAAATGGAATGTAATGATTAAGTGACTGGAAAAATAAACTTTTAATAAAATAACACTTTTTTATTAGTTTAAATTTATTTTAAGGTATTGATGGTATTTCTCTGTGTTGAGTACTTTGTGTTAATTTTGTCTTAGTGTTCTATGCTCAAGTGGATTAACTTCACAGTATTTGTTCACAGGGAGGAAGTTTTATTTTGTCCTCATCAGGAAGCCAGCTGATTCGACTGATACCCGAAAACTTAGGAAAGATTCATCATCATATCCTTCCTCAGGGGCAAGGCATGCTTTCAGGAATTGGTCGGAGGGTTTCTTCTCTTTTGGGAATTTTATCTCCTAGTAGTGATCTCATCGTAAGTAACCTGATTTACAAGCTTTATTCTTATGAAAACAATACGTCGGATGAGTGATAGTGTGCATGAAATAAAACCTTTCATATTTTAGTAAAGCATTTTTGTCATGATGGTCAAATGAGTTCATACCAAACTTCCCCCTACACCCTGTAACATTACGGTTCTTAAATTACACAGCCTATAAGTACATGTTTAAATTAAAATTATTACGTAAGATTGTAAAAGTGTCTTAAGGACTAATTTTGCTTTCTAAATACAACTAATATGTATCTAGATACAACTAGATACATCTGTGTGTATGACTCAAATCTTAATCTCTCTGCTGGGCTCGCAGTAGTGAAGGGAGGACTGCGGGTACTGATGTTTGCAGAGCACCCGCTCTGGAGTGCTCTGTGTTCGTTATTTGGGTGATTATGGTTACACAATGGAGCGCGTGTTATCCGACTTACAGATGAGAAATTGGCCTCAGTGGGCTAATAAGAAAATGCCCAAGGTTGGAGAACTACTCAGTGGTAGTAGTTGCCCAGGCTTTGGTTTGAAAGCACATCCTTTTTACTGTGCTATTTCTGTTTATTTCAGGTTGCTAGATGATGTGCTTCATTGAATGGTTTTGAACCTAAAAACTTAGTATGTCTAAAAACAAATTGCTCACATTCCTTTTTCTGTTTACACACTAATACACAAAATTGATTTCTCTTTTATCCTACTTCTTTTACTTTCAGTTTTTTTCAGTGGCCCAGGTATAAAACCTTGGTTTTTGTTTTTTTTTTTAAAGTTTCTCCCTCTCCTCTGGCAATTCATTCACCAGGATTTAACTGTTATGTTTCATTTCCAGCCTCACCCTCTGCTTCCATTGTTATGTCCTAATCTTCCCTCTGAAGTGCATTTCCCTAAGCAATTGGTGCCACACAATTAATTCATTTTTGGTCCCTCCTACCCCATAGTGGCCAGAGTCATGGCTATAGGAGAAATAGAGACAATTAGGGTCTTAACTCAAAACAACCATGTATAACCAACTTAAAAACGATACACCTGAATTTCATAAGCAAGTCTATACTTAAAAAAGAAATCACATCCATTCTTATAACTACATACAGCTAATATTGTGTTTAAAAACCATCGATATCTCCCTTACTAGATTAACAAGCTCACATTCAGTACTCTGCTATATGTCCTTTGAGCTTTATTTTTTGTTTTTCTTCTAGTTATAATCTATAATCTAGCTTAACAGGATTACTCCTGTTCTTGGAAGACTAACTTTTCCCTCCTCCCAATTCCGTGCTTCATGATCCTTCTGCTTTTCTGCTGCTCCCTGTGGAAATTCTCTCGCTTTCAAGTTCAGAATCACTCCTTCCTTTGAATACTTAAAATTTTACTGAAATTGTTAATAATCAAATAGTCATCTCTAAAATTTGAATTGAGAAAATAGTTCATTAGCAATCTAAAAACTTGACTTTTTTCTCATCAAAGCTTTCAGGTGTCCTCTGGGATAGAGAGAGATCAAGCTTTTACAGCCTGACAAGTTCAAGCATCAGTAAATGGGAATTAGATGACTCTTCAGAAAAACAAGCTCATAGTTGGGATATAAACAGAGCCTTGAAGGAAAATATCACTGATGCTATTTGGGTAAGAAAATAATGTTCATGTCTATAATTCATGTTTATGACTATCTGGTATCTCTGTGGTTATATTAAAACATATTTCAATGTGATATAATGTAGTTTTTACCTATCAGATAAGCAAAAGAGTGATATTCAGTCTCTAGACACTGGGACTCATCATACTGAATTTTTAATGTGTGCAACAACTGAGGTCCTTTAGGGGTACAAAGGTGAAATGATTCCTATACTCAAGGAGCTTGTGTTGCTATTTTAATATAGGGATCTGAAAGTAACTATGACACTATCAAAGAAGGAGTCAACATTCGATATTTGGATTTGAAGCAAAACTGGTAAGCAGTTGATTTATCATAAAGGATATAGTTAGCAATTTGGAAAAATAAACTGATGTCTCTTTAAACTGATGAGCCGATCTTTCTCTGCTCTTCTGGTGCCTCAAGTGCTCATCTTAGACTATCATGCTTTATTAATTATGTTCCTTACCAGGTGATGCTAGTTCATTTGCATCATACAGGCAGTTCTTACACTGCAGCTGTACTTATATTGGTTGTCTGCCCTGGCTAGAGATGCATCTCTTCTGCTGTCACAGCTGGAGCATCTCTACTGCTCAGAGATACCTTCCCCACTGTCATCTTTCTCTTAATGGAGATATTAGGCACATTTTTCCAGTCTTTCTGTTGCTGAGGAAGCATTAGCTTACGATTATGGCTGAGAGGTGTAAAGGATGGATGGGGTAAGGTTTTGTCTTGACAGTATTAAGTTAGAACTCAGTGAATTTCCTGAATCTTTAAGAGGTGCTGAAGTTCCTAGGTTAGTCTGGTAAGGTTAACGTACCCCTTGTTACCAGTTAGTAGTAACATGGAAGGTCATATAGGTTGTAGCCATTTGTAACAAGGTTTCTGTAATAAAGTTCATAGGAGTACATAATATGCCTTATATTAGATCAAAACACAATTTGCCAGAATTTTATTTTAGTGTAATTTCATTTAGTTTCTGGAAATTTCAGTAGTTCCTGAAAATATACGTAAGTTGTCACTAGAGGGTGCTTGCTGCCCTGTTAATAAAGACAAAAATGTTTTTCCTCTAGACTAAAGTAAGCTTTGCAGAAATCAGGGTTGAGCAGCCTTCTCTATGAGGGCCCATAACTAGCTGTTGGAGACTGGGGGGGACATGTGGTGTTCCTTGCAGCTACTCTGCTCCATCAGCAGGGAAACAAAAGCTCCCATAGAGATTACACAACGAACGGCTGTCTGCCAGTGAAGCTGTGCTGGCAAAAGTAGTCTGAGGACTACTTTGCCAGTCCCTGTACTTGATGATTTATTGTGTTTTTTTTTCTTTATTTTTCAAAAACTATTTTTAAGTTATGTTAGTTTTGTCAAGGTAACTTTGTTTTACAACACTGTATTGACTGAGGGGTATAGGTTCACACCTCACACCTTGTACATGTGTGTTACTGTGTCACACCCCCCACCACTGTGGTATATTTTCCTAATTAAGATTTTTTTAGTTACATTTTACATGTGTAAAATTCATCATCTTAAGTGTGAACTTTTTTTAATATAAAAATTGAGTAATGACAGCATACATTTTATAGATTTATCAGAGCTTATTCAGAATTGAAGGATATTTGATGGTTTACGGTTTTAGGCAAGTATGAGTAAAGCCACTATAAACATTTGCACAAAGGTTTTTGTGAGAACATAAGTTTTTCTTTGTCTTGGGTAAATTGTTAGGAGTGGTATTGTTAAGTCATATGGGTGTTTAGCTTATAAGGAACTGCCAAGCCATTTACCAAAGAGGCTGTAATATTTCTTCTTTATTGACTAGTGATGGGCTCCTGGTTTTGGCAGCAGCGTGGCACCCTGCCGACAGTCCGTGCCTCACCTATTACTCTCTGATAACAGTGGAAGACAACGGGCACCAGATGTCAGATGCCGTAACTGTGGAAGTCACTCAGTACAATCCACCCTTTCAGGTGAGATCGCTTTCTGTAATTTAAATTACAAAGTGCCTGGAACACTGAGGTTTTTTTCCTCCAAACACTGAGGAGTCACCTTTTCTGAGAAATAAATCTTCAGGATTTGGAAATATTTTAAAACAGCTAGTTTGTAAACAACGTATTTTATTTGCTATCTCAGACTTGCTCAGCCTCAGCTAAAGAGAATGAGTAGAGTCAACTGACAGCAAGCAGTTTGGTTCTTCTGCTCTAGATCTCAGCAGGGATTATTATTTCTATGTTGGTGGGTGGAAAGAAAATACTAATGATGAATTACAGACTGAAAATAAGGAAGAAACCTGGTAGGAATTGGGGTCAAATTTTGAGCCCTGTATATTTCAGAAAAAAATCCCGTTTGCTCAAACTAAGATCTTATTTGTTAGCAGCTTATATACTCAACAAAATTTATGTAAACAAAAGGCAAGATCTCTAGTTTTAAGCTTTGTAAAAGCAATTAAACAGACTGTTTAATAACTGATGTTCATGAAGAAAACCTTGACCTATAAATTGATTCCATATTAACCTAACATAACTTTAAGTCTATTAAACCCTTATTATTTTATTTTTAGTTTATGTTTATTGAAGTAAGGTTGATTCATAACACTGTATATTTTAGGGTTGTAGGTTGACACCTCTATAATGTATGTTATCACAGCATAAGTACCACCAAACCCCCAATAAATTCTTGTTCTTAATATGATTTGTTTAACCAAATACCATAAGGAAATCTTTGTTTTTATGCTTTAAACACAAACAAACCTTATGTGTTCTGAGTATGCAGGAAAAACATGTCCAGTGCTAGAAATGTTTAGAAATGTGAAAGGATATGAAATAAACAATTTGAGAATAAAAAATTCACATAGGACCCTACTTGTAATGTTTTGTCTATAAAGTCAGTTGCAAGTAGTACATTGTTTTTAGTATTTGCTAATTTTAAATTTTCATTGGGCCTTACTCTATATCTGCTTCTGATTTTATCACTGTATATGAACAAATTAACTCATTTTTCTTGTGCTTGACATCTTTGCATTCATGTAAGAACCAAAATATTTATCAGGGATATCTTATAAAGAATTTGCAAATTCTAAAATAAAAAATACTTTTATTTTCTTTTTCACATTTGTTATAGATGTGTAATTATTCCTGTGAAAGTGTTTCTGAAATTTGCTAATTATATCTGAACTCAGCAAATGATTTTCTTAGTAGTTGTTTATAAATTGATTCTGTGATTTTTACCATTTTTATGAGCTAGTTGAATTATAGAATCATCCAAATACAGTTGTTTTAATTCTCATTAAATATAATCTTAAATTTTATTTTCAGTCTGAAGACTTGATTACGTGTCGGTTGATGGTCCCCAATTTTTCAAACCAGACTGCCTATCTGTATACTGAAAATGCTGTCTATGTGTGTTCCACAGGAACCGGAAAGTTTTCTCTTCCTCAGGAGAAAATTGTCTTTAATACACAAGGTACAATTATAGTTGTAGAAAGCATGATGAGTGAACTTCCTAGTTATTCATAGAAGTTTTATTCTTTTCCATAAGTGTTGGTTCAGTGTGTTATGGAGCATTTCAGTACCATACCTCCTGTAGCTGCAGTTGCAACCATACTGAAACCAAAATGGTAGTAGAATTCCCAAACTGTTAAATTTATGGGCAAAAATTAGTAACTTTTTTTCTCAGAAGAGGCCAGTAGAGTATTGATATTAAGAGAACTGCTTATTCCTAGTTAGTAAGAGTTGATGTTCTCTAAGTTTGTCTAGATCCTTGCTTAGGAAGAATCCCAGGTTCTGGACTTGTAAGGGGCCTGGAATGAGAGTGTAGATATGAGAGTCAGCCAGGAGTGAAAACAAGCTAAGAAGAAAATCTTTATAGTTACCTAAAGGGATTGGGCAAAGTCCAGTATCCAGGTAAGCAATAGGATGGGATCTAGATCTTCTACTCTTAGCACAGGAGCCTTGGCTTTGGGTGGATTGAATTTATTAACACACTGAGCAAGTTTAAACACCCACCCTAATCCCTACCCCCAGCTTCCACCCTGTCATACCTGACTACTGAATACGTAAAGAAAGCTGGGTGAGAGAATTCCACTGTATTGAAAAAGCTGTTACTCTAGAGTTTTGCTGAATGACTTTCTTTTTTGGCCTCTCGGAAATGTTGCTCTAGCAAATCTAGTTTTTATATTAAAGCTGAACGAGACAGAGCCTGCTATTTCAGATAGTAACTGATTCTTGACAGCTGAGCTCAAAGTAGGAATAACATAAAGCAAAAAAAAAAAAACGATGTTCTTAGCTTATCACGATGATTTTCTACTTAGGATGGTGGGTTTTAGGAAGCACTTTAAGATTATGTATTTTTGATTGTGTATTTTTATCTTTTAGGAGATAGCATTTTAGGAGCCGGTTCCTGCGGCGGTATTCCTATTCTTTTTTCTAGAAACAGTGGATTGGTATCTGTTACTTCAAGGGAAAATGTGTCCATATTAGCAGAAGACCTTGAAGATTCACTCGCATCTTCAGTTGCTGGACCAAACAATGAGGTAACAAGGTTCTATAAGATTTTAAGAGTTGGGTTAGAGTATTTCCTACACATTTTTAAAAGAAAAACAGTCTTAAAAGAATTGTGATGAAAACACTAGAGTTATATAAAAGCAAACTATGAAAAGTTACTTTGGTTATGATGAACTCTAATCTTATGACACAAGGGGTTTTACATGTACATGTTTATTTCTTTTATATAACTTTTCTATAGGGCTTTTTTAACCATCTAGTGCCTTTTTTTTTTTAAAGATTTATTAATTTTTGCATACAAAACTGGGGTACAGGCCAGAGGCTCAGGGGTGGTGAGAGGCTTCACCAGAGACAGAGCGGGAAGCAGAACAGGCCGACTAACGAAGTACACTGCTGAGGGGAGCAGCAGGCAGGTCAGGAGAGGTCTGCTGCGCCATGTGGGTCACCTCCAGGGCAAGCGGGGGTCGAACTCATGCTGCAGTGGTTTTAGCTTCTTAGTGCTGCGCTTTAACCCACTGTGCCACCAGGGAGGGCCCATTTAGTGCCTTGTATCTTGTTTCAGTAACCCATTGCTATAGAGTATTATAAACATCTTGTGTGTCTGTGTTGTTGCTGTTGTAGGTGGGTCCAATTTTAGTAAGATTATTAAGAATATTCTGATGCCTTCACCTCTAAATCATAGTTTGTTGTTTTATAGAGTATGGTTTTTGAGACTTCTACAAAGAATGAAATGGTAGCCCAGGAAGATAAAACCAAATTGCTAAAAGCTGCTTTTCTGCAATATTGCAGGTATGACAAGTTTTTTAAATTTATAGCTTACTTATGTGTGATGACACATTTTACCAATATGTGCTACTTGTCGACTGGTGGGGAAAAGTTTGGAATGATGTGATTTTCTGAGCGTTAGCACTTTCCAAGTTGTTCTGAATTTGTAACCACTGGAGGATTCCACTAGACTGGGAAAAAAACATGATGTAACTGTGCACTGTTAAAAAGGTGACCGTAAGACAGCTTGCAGGCATCTTTTATGTATAATACTACAGCAAAATAAATTCAGTACAAAAACTTTATTAGTATAATAAAGGAATTAATTAGCCTCGGGCTATTAGTTGGGTTTTGCTGTGGATAGGATCACTGCAGGACTTGGTGGTGAGTCTGACTGTTAGGAGTTGGGCTCCAGGTACTATTTTACTGGCCCTGTCTGGTTCACTCCTGGTGTGTACTCAGCTGTCATCTGACCTTTGCTCACATTTGCGGGGCTTTTGCGGTTACATTCTTATCCTCTTCACCTGGCCTCTGCTCAGGTAGCAGACTGCCCTGCCTTGCTTAGATAACACTCTATGCCATCACAATAGTCTACAGAGCTTAGTTTCTTCTTCAGAAGGCACCATTACTCAAGTTTTTTTTGTTCTGTTTTTAAATAGTATTCTTTTAATATTATTCTGTTACATGATGTTTAATCTTACTGCCAAGATTTGGATTAAAATACTTCTTAAGCTTGCACAAGTTTATTTTTTGATTAACAGTTCTTCAGATTTGTGGCATCTCAAGACTTAAATGAGAATGGAGCAAGTTATCATAGTCATTGTATTAGTTTCCTGTGGGTTCTGTAATCAATTATTACAAACTGGGTGGCTTAAAATAGAAATTTATTTTTTCCTGGTTTTTTGACACCAGAAATCTGAACTAAAGTATCAGCAGGCCGTGCTCCCTATGAGGGCTTCACGGAAGAGTCGTTGTTTCTCTAAATGTCAGCAGTTCCTCCTTCTTTTGAGACATACTCCAGTTATTCCTCTCCTGTATTCAGCATATAATTGTTGAATCGACTTTTAATTAAATTGTATTAAAACTAAGTTACTTTGGGCAAAAAATGGGACTTTTTCAGTGTTGACTTTTTCCTGGTGAGTTTTGAAAATATTTTACCTCCTTTGATACTTTTGTTTTCCAATGACATTTCAGAAAAGACTTGGGTCATGCTCAAATGATGGTTGATGAGCTCTTTTCATCTCACTCTGATTTGGATTCTGATTGTGAATTGGATAAAGCTATTACCCAAATCAGTGTGGACCTGGTGGATGATTACCCAGCTTCTGACCCACGGTGGGCGGAGTCTGTCCCTGAGGGTAAGAACATCCTAGTTTTAATATTAAAATAGTGTGATCTATTTTAAGAATATTCTGGTTCTTTTATTAACAGGTCTCTCAGAGCATAAATTTTAGTTTCTGAAACAATTTAATAGTCGATGTTCTTTAAAGAATTGTAACTTTCTTCATAGTACATTTTGAAAGACGGCCAGTACAGATCTCCGTAATAGCATAGAAAATAAGGACCAAGAACAAATTCTGCTTGTTTTATCGAAAGTATATTAGTCCCACTTAGCTTTCTCAGTGTTTTAGTTCTAAAAAAATATTGGTTGGCAAGGAAGGCACTTGTCACTGATTAGCCACCAAATTAAATGATTATTTTGGTATAATCATTATACTGGTAATACATTCTCCTTGGATTGGCAATAGGCAGACCTCAGTGTGTAGGGGTGGTGTGTCATACCTGCCTCTTGTGTTCTTGCCTGTCTTGGGTGATTGTCCCTCTTGCCATTACTTCTTCACAGCATCGGGGGCACTCTGGAGGTTCCCACCTGCCAGGGATCTCAAACACTCATTTCTGTCTAATTCCCTACTTGGCAAGTTTACCAAGCCTCAGAGATTTAGGAAGGAAGCATTAATGTTTACCTTCTTTGTTTCTTTTGAGTTGTCAAGCTATGATGATATATGACTAAACTAATAATAGCATTTTGTGTTTAAAAAAAAAATACAGTATTAAACACCCCAAATTTTTCTCTAAATTCCTTAGACTCCTCAATTTATATTTAAGTTTGTGAAACTTTGAGTCTTTTGTCTAACCTCAGAAAGCAAATCCATGTATAAAGGGGATTATTATAGTTTTTCTTGATTTTTAGTTTTAATTGTAAGTACTGTAAAACTAGTAAGCTGATGGTTTTGTGACTCTGTTTCACCAGAAGCACCTGGGTTCAGCAACACATCACTGATCATTCTTCACCAATTGGAGGACAAGATGAAAGCCCACTCCTTTCTTATGGACTTTATTCATCATGTAAGTATTCCAGCTGCTGGCAGGAGGGCTGGTCGTGACAGGCCTTCTGTCTGCTCTCTTCAGGACAATGGAAGCTCCTTTTTCTCTTATGTTGAGGTGTTTTGTGGGTAAAGTGTGATTAGTGTTTTCCATTTTATGTGAATTAAAAGTAAATAAGTCCAGGCTATAAGCATCTGTTACTCCAAATGTGAAAACTGCGTTGAAAAAAGATAAAAGGGAAAGTAGTATACTTCAGCAGAAATGCCGGTTTGGTTTTTCTTGTATCCTCCTATAATAGTCTGCTTTTCATTCAGATTTCTTTTGTGCTTTTATATACAATTTAGGTTTTCTTCAATTGATTTCATGTTGTTGGAAGTATGGTAAAAAGTGATAACAAACTTATAAATGGATTGTTTTAATGAAAGGATTTTTAGTTTGGGAGGTTTAAGAGCACTTGAAATTTGACTGTAGCAACTAAGGACGTAGATTTTTAACATTCAGTTTGTCTCAACTTAAATCACCACTGTCAGTAGTGTCTACTTTATTAGACAATAGACCCTCTAGGTGGTTTCAGAAATGATTTGATTATTCCTAATCCAATATTCTGTTTCCATTTTAATGCATGATTTGGTTCCTGTCTACTCTTAATGTCTTAAGAGCTCATTACTTACTGAATTTCCCTTTTTTATTACTTAGGTCGGAAAAACACAGCATTTCCTCCTGATATAACTGTGTAATCAAGTGTATCAGTTAACTATTAACTATTAATTCATAACAAATCACCCCAAAATGTTGTGGATTAAAACAGTTCTGTGGGTTAGCTGGATGGCTCTTCTGATTTCTGGAATCACTCCTTGCGCTTCATTCAGGGCAGCCTGAACTGGAAGGTCCCGGGCCCCTCACATGTCTGGTAGTTAGTACTGGCTATCAGTTGGGGCCATTCACTTCTCCACTTACTGACTCATTCTCCTTCAGGCTGGTCTGACTTCCTGTGCACCCAGGGCAGCACTGCAAGGGGTGGACTTGGAAGCTGTAGATCTTCAGGTGTTACCGTAGGCGTCACATACTATCACACTGTGGTGACATTGTCAAAGCCAGTCCCGAGGCCAGCTCACATGAAAGGAGTTGAGAAGTTGGGTCTGCCTCGTGATGGGAGTAGTGGCAAAGCCTGCCCCAAAAGGGTGCGCTACTGGCAGAGGAGGAGTTTGTAGTTCTGCTGTGCCACACCAAGGACATGTTCAGTTAGCAGGCATGGGAGCACCGTGGAGCAGGAGCAGTGGCAGTAGCTCGTGGCACAGCCTCCCTGGGCTTTAGGGACCCTAATGGAGTCACACAATTGGCAGCAATATCTGTAGTAAGGTAATGTCCAGCTAGAGCTGACTAAGCCTTAAATTTTGATTTCCTGTAATATTTAGAGCTTATTTTACTGATCAGGAAGAATTTACATTAGTAATCGGGAAAAATGTGTAACTTCTAAGGGTTGCTTATCTCCAAGGAACTAATTCTGAATCTAAGACTCCTTCAGACAAACTCAGCAAGGCCATGGCCTACTTCTGAAGATGGGCAAGACTATGCCTCAAGACACTGTCTTTGCCTCTTTTTCTGTATTGGTGTATGTCCGGTGTGCTTCTGGTGGAATTATGATTAAATTTGTTTGCTTGTTTGTTACTGTAGATGCTGTCTAACATCTTTTCGTCTTTTCACAAGGTTGGCATCTTTGGACGGCTCGGCACTTTCCCTGTAAGAGGAATGCCGATGGCAACGCGGCTTTTGCTCTGTGAGCATGCCGAAAAGTTATCGGCCACCATTGTTCTTAAGAACCACCACTCACAACTTTCCGACCTTGTGAACACAGCCATATTGATTGCTTTAAACAAGAGGGACTGTGAAATCCCATCCAACCTGACCCCTGCAGACCTCTTTTTTAGAGAGGTAAGATGAGTCCTCTTGCTTGCCTTCCTGTGGCTTAGTGGGGCTGCCCTATTTACTGATCATGTCCAGAAGGGGGAAAGTGAGGACTAGAGTTCTCGTTGAAAGCTTTATTTATCTATGCATACAAGAACTGGGCTGTAAACCAGAGGTGTGGAGGATGAGAGGTTTCACCAGCAACAGAGTGGGGAGCAGAACAGGCAGATCAACTAAATACACTGCTGAGGGGAGCAATGGACGAGGCCAGAAAGGCCTGCTGCACCATGTGGGTCACCTCTGGGGCCAGGGATTGAACTAGTGCTGCAGTGATCAAACTGTGTCTTTAAACCCTGAACTATCAGAGAGGCCCCCTATCTCACTGAAATTTTAAATTTGGCCTCTTACTTTCTGGACAAATCAGAACTTATAAAATTGACCAAAAAATCTGCCCTTTTATGTGCTGGGAAGAGACAAATTCCCTTTGTCTCTTCAAATCTCTTCTTGACTAGCCAGTACAGCAAACATCAGAAGTTTCAATGCAAGGAGCCCACAAATCAGACAGACATCTACCTCTTAGCTAAGCTGTATAGTTTTCTGGCCTATAGACAAATCAACTCCACTTCAACCAAATTGTGAACAGTTTGTTCGCAAGTCAAACCAAGCAGCCACCTCTGTCCTGTCCCAGATTATCTGGAAGATGAAACTGTCTGGCTGGGAAGCTCCCCGGCTCCAACGCAGCCATGGTAGTAGGAACTATGATGGACATGTCTGCCCAGGAGGTTCCCAGAATGAAGCTATGTGCACTGCAGGTCAACTTCTGTGTCCATGCCGCATCCTCAGGCAGGATCCTCACCTTAGCCAGCTAGCCCTGGACTCCCCCAGGGTTGTGGCACCATCCTGCACTCTGGTCCTTGAAAGCGCTTAGATGAACAGACATTTCGGCAATGCCCAGGAACCCCACACAGCCACACTGGGCCCAGTGTGTGCTCCAAAAACCAAAAATTCCAGTGTGCCAGAGGTCAGGGGCATGTCAGATCCTGCTTTGGTAGTAAATTTGGAGTACTTAAAAAAACAGAAAAGAGCGAAAACTTAACCATGAGTTGAAGCAGGAAACAAGTATTTCAGTATTTGAGTATTTCTGTACCAACACCTACTTGTGTTAATGGAAGTGTCAGGAAATAGATACTCTTACATAGTTGTTACTAGTCTACAGAAATTTGTGGGATGTCTAAAGAAGACCTCAAATAAGCAGATTCATTAGTATGAAGAATTCTGAGCCATTAGTTCATTAGTGGGTTCTTACATTGTATTATGATATCATTTTTAGCTGGTATTATTTAAAGATTGTATTGACCACTAATAACTATAGTAAATATTTCACATTCTTGATGTTTAAATAAAATATCCACCTGGTTACAATCCCAAATTTGCTTATTTATAAGATTTAGTTGAACTCTCACTTTTAGAAGTTAGGAAATTCTACTTTTCTTGGTTTTTAAATTTATTTTCACCATTTCTTCTGACTAATGAGCTAAGGAGGATATAGCTTAATGAGAAGAGCCTGTTGAGAAAATTCTAAGTAGTTATAATCATTACCCAGCACCATAATTTTTGTCCTGAATAGTTGACTTTTCTCTACTCCCTCAGGTGTCCCAGGTAGATACCATCTGTGAGTGTTTACTGGAGCATGAGGAACAAGTCTTAAAGGAAACATCATTGGAATCAGTTGAATGGGCCGAGGTGGTGATCAGTGTGAACAATATTCTCAAGGTACGAGCATGCAGTGAAGATTGCATTAGGTCAAAGCCTAGAAGGATTAGAAGAGATACAGTAGTTTCCATATTCCTACTCTGTAGCATCAGTAATTTATGAAGCTTTAACCACTTTTCAATATCAGAAAGCTATAAAAATGTCAGTCATCAATCATTTAATAGATATTTTGACTGTGCATAGTAGAAGTTTCTATAACCCCAATTTCTAATTGGTAGAATAAATCTTTTATTTGGAGGATAGATAGACACATACTCACACACACACATCATTGGAGATGTATTACTTTTAATGTAACTAAGTCTCTTCCATTTTTTAATTATGCAGAAGCTCACACTTACTGTTAATATGTTCCCCTTTGTTTTACAGCTAATAGACTTTTTATCTTTAGAAATACTGAAATTCGTTACTTTCATATAGCATAGTTCATTTTTTTCCAGGACATGCTTCAGGCTGCTAGTCATTACCGACAAAATAAAAGCTCCTTGTATAGAAGAGAAGAACCACTAGGAAATGAACCTGAATATATTCCTTGGACAGGTGAGATTATTAGCACTGAGCCCAAATACACTGGTGAATTAAAAATTCAGCATCTATATTTAATGAGCCATCATTTTTGGAAGCTGTGTAAGTGGAATGAGGAATACTGTCCAGAAGAGGACCCGTATTTACTGTGTTATTTTGAATGATTTCACAGCAACTAGTGGCCCTGCCGGCATCCGAACTGCAATAGTACGCCAGCATAGCATTGTCCTGAAAATGGTGTATCCTCAGGCAGATAGCAAGCTCCGGAACATTCTGACAGAGCAGCTCGTAGCGCTGATTGATTGCTTCTTGGATGGTTATGTCTCTCAACTTAAGTCTCTGGACAATTCGAGTGATCAAGAAAGATATAACAGTTTGAAAATGGAATACCTGCAGAAAAGATCAGATCTCTTATCTCCTCTTCGTAAGTGCATTATATGTATCAAGAGCTGTGGGTCTTTGAATTTACAGAGTGACTAAAGGAGTCATGTCATTGCTGAGTGCGCAGTGATAGTGTTAATCCAACTGTTATAAGAATTTAAAGCAAAGCAAATATGTAGAGCATACTGTTTAGTCAACATTATTTTCACTACATGCCAGATCTAATTGCAATAGACAGTGAAGATGGATAAAAAGTAAAAAAATTAACACGTGGAGACAGCCCTCAAAAAGCTTATCATCCCAGACTTTCCATTAATAACTAGACTGAAAAGCAGAGCATGATAGAGTAGTGTAGGTGTTCAGCAAAGTAATTTCAAGGCTTGGCTGAGAAGTAGCTTGTTTGGTCAATACATGAAGCAAGGGAATAAGTATTTGACTTAGTGGTGAATCAAGGACTGAGTTAGTAAGTTTACTTGGGTTACGGAACTAAATTCTAACAAATGGAAATATTTTCGTTCTATTGTTTTTAGTGTATAACATGAATAAAGGCAAATTTTCAAGTAATATCTTTCATTGCATACTAATTTCTGCTAACAGGGTTTTCCCCCACCTGTTCTTGTTCTAGTCAGTCTAGGCCAGTACCCAATGGCTGCTTCTTTAGCAGAAAAGTACTGTGACTTCGATATCTTAGTACAAATGTGCGAGCAGACGGACAACCAGACTAGACTCCAGCGCTACATGACTCAGTTTGCAGATCAGGTAAGGGACCCGGGCCACTGCAGTCGGTTCTCAGTGCAGCTTTACTCAGCCCTTGCTTGCTTGGGGAATATAGTGCAACCTGTTTCTAGTTAACTGGGACACTAACTTCTACATTGTTTCTTTGAAGATTAGCAGACAATTCTTTCTAAGTAATACTACTGAATATTACTTTGACCTTTGAAAAATATGTTAAAAACCTAAATTTTATTTTCAGAGTTCACACTATGACACACTTTCTATTTCCTCTGTAAGGTCAGTCTATTCAGTTAGTTGATCTTTATGTAAAAATTGAAAAAACTGACATTTTTCTTACTATAAAGTAATACTTTATAAAATTTAGTAAACGTCTACTAACAAAAAAGGTAAGTCATACAATTCCACCACCCAGCGAGAACTCATTAAAAACATTTTTCTAATCCTTTTATTGTGTTATTGTGAGCAAGCATGCTTTGTTAACTGCTTATTTCAGTTACTATGTTACAAACATTTGTCAATATTATTAAATATTCCAGTTTTTTAATGTTGTTATGCTATTTTGTGCTTAAAGTAAGTACTTTTGTAACCAGGATTTTTATTGTTTTCATGGATTTTAATTGTCTGTTGGCATTCCCATCCATTTTTGCACTTTAGTGTTTTAATAGTTGAAGTTCTTTGCTAACTCCAAAAACCTGATCATTCTTGGGTCTGCTTCTGTTCCTTACTTATTAGATATATTTTTTGCTTTTCTGTCATGTAATTTGTTATTGCATTTGGCATTTTTCATAAAAGACCATAAAGATGGAAATCAATGCTGTTTTTCTTCTGAGAGGTAGATAAAATGAGAGGCTCAATTCATCGAGAATAGAGAACCAAGACGTGTTGCAGCTTTTATTATTCTGTTCTTTCTCTTTCTGATTTCAAGTCTTTTGGGTAGAGTGGGTTCATTATAGAGTTCCCTCCTTAGTGGAAGTAGCTGTTAGGTAATAGCTCTAAGGTAAGTGAATGCAAGACATTTAGTCTTCCTTTCAGTCCAGCCTCCTACACTTCCCCACCATCCAACATATATACCCTGGGGAAATCAGAGACATTGGAGCCTCTCTGGATTCCAGTTTATTGGCTGGCCCACATGGCTATCTGGCACAACCTTTCACCCATGAGAATCTGTCTTTTGGGAATAATAGTGTATCTTCACAGTCCAGAAGAACTTTGTATAATAATAGAGATCTTGCTATTCATATGTGCTGTCCCAAATGGAAGTTGCTAGCAACACCTGGCTATCAAGCACTTGAAATATGGCTAGTGTGACTGAGGAATTGACTTTTTAATTAACTGTAAATAGCTACATGTGGCCAGTGCTTACCATATTGGATAATGCATAGATTCTGAGTGGTCTTGTATGAAAAAGAACTCATACAAGACCACTCAGAATCTATGGTCTTGTATGAGTTCTTTTTCAAGGTGAATATACTTACTTGTCAAATGATATTATTGAATGAGGTGATTTTTGAGGCCCCTATAATATAGGATATTAATGTTTAAAACAGGATTTCTCCTCTGGAGCAAGAGATTTATTATTATCAGAAGTGTATTTTCTAAATCTGTATTACTGAGTATTGGATTTCTGGCTCTTGTAGAATTTTTCAGATTTTCTCTTTCGTTGGTATCTGGAGAAAGGAAAGCGTGGCAAATTATTATCTCAGCCTATTTCTCAGCATGGCGAGTTGACTAATTTTTTGCAAGCTCATGAACATCTCAGCTGGTTACATGAAATTAATAGTCAAGAATTAGAAAAGGTAAGAAAGATTTGGTTATGGAGCAACTTATTTCATTTTTAATAGTTTAGATTTTAGTCATAAGATGTTCTAGATTTAAATGTATTTTTCCTGTTATCTCATATAATTTGAATATAGTAATTTTTTTTTATTTATAATGTTGTTGCCACTACTACTAAGGTTTGATTAAAAAGTTGCCCATTGTGATTTGCCTACTATTACAATAAATAAGGCATAAAACGTTGTCAACATGTAAAGAACAGTTCTCAGTTTAGTAATAAATATTTTCATCTTATCAGAGTTTTCATATGTTGTTTATTATAGGCTCATGCAACACTTTTGGGTTTGGCAAATATGGAAACTCGTTACTTTGCAAAGAAAAAAACCCTTCTTGGTTTGAGTAAATTGGCTGCATTAGCTTCAGACTTTTCAGAGGATGTACTGCAAGAAAAAGTTGAAGGTAAAAGAAGCAATTTGAACAAGAAGACATACCAACCTGTCACATTACCAATAAACTTATAATGTGAACCTTTATCACTTAATAGGATGCAGTAGAAAGAGGGGTCATCTCTCTGTAAAATGAAAACTATGTTCATTGTCTTAGACAATGAACACAGTTACATAATTTGGATTCTCTTTTTAGAGAAAAGTAGTTTTGTGTTCTAAATCAGAATTCCTAAAAAGTAAATTCAAATGATTTGAACATAGTATTCTGATTTTACTGCTAGTAAAATCAGAACTGAAAATAAAGTTTGGCTTTTACTCATGGGTTTGTTGTAAGTAGTGGTATTTCTGCTGTTGGTTTCAGAACTCAGAACTTTTTGGTGTCATAATTATTAAACTTTTCTGTATATTGCAGATTGAGAAAATGATTGAATGTTATTTTGAGAGTCAAGGGCAATACAACTATAGAAATGAGAAAGAATCCTATATTGCTACTAGATGAATATACTTTATCCCTTATTTTGATTTCTAACATAATGGGACTATTTTGTAATTTCCTCTGCATTGTTATCACACTGTATCTAAATTGGAAGTAGGCCTTTAAAATTTAGCTTTCTGGTTACAAAAATTCTTATGGAATTTATGAATTGTAGTGAAACCCAACAACAAAAAGTAGTCTACAATCCACTGCCTGGGAGTAACTAATGTTACTGTTTTGTATATTTTCCCAGTCTCTTTTTCTGGGTGTGTAAATATTGCACAGATATGTTGTTGTTTAATTTTTACAAATTGGGATCATGTGAAATGCCATTATTTGAGCATATATTTATATGTTGGTCACTCCGTTTTTATTTTTAAGTTATCTATTCTGCAGCATCTTTAAGCAGTAAAGTATGTTTTCTCTTCCCCTGACTGTTCATAATTGTGATAATACATGACTTGATCCAAGCCATGAGTATGTTTTAACTTGTCAGAAATCAAGAATAAGTAGATATAATAAAATTCTAAGACCATTGATGGGGTTACCTTAGAGATACTTGTTTTTTTTCCTAAATTCAACTTTGTTTTATGACAGAAAAAATGTAAACATTTACTGTCCCCTCCCCTCTCATTTTGAATACTAGAAATGGCTGAGCAGGAGCGCTTTCTACTGCACCAGGAGACCTTGCCTGAACAGCTGCTAGCAGAGAAACAGCTGAGTCTCAGTGCAATGCCAGTATTGACCGCATCACAACTTATAGGCGTATGTATTTTTCAAATTCTTGCACCATTTTAGTCTCAAGATATCTTTGCTATTTCTTGGGTCATGTGATATAATTCCTAAGTGGAGTCCTGTTTTCCTGGTAACTTTCCCTAGAATAAGTTGTTGGCAGTACACATGCCGAAGGGCGTGGCTAGATATAGGCTTTAGCCTCTATAAGGTAGATCTGGTGGGTTACATGTGTGCTCGTAGCATTGACTTCTCTCTCTGACTTTCAGGAAAGCATTTCAAATGGCTTAGATCACCTGGAATTTGCTCTTGTTAAGAGAGAAAACAATTCAGTATTCTAGCCATTATTTAGTAACAGGTTTCCTATCAGTGAGTTCATAGCAACCTTTCCTGATGAGGCATACTTACCTTAAAAGTTGAAGGTGCTGTGGCTTAAAAGATTCACCATTATTTTTTGTATTAATCAGAAGGAATAATTAGTGCCAGTTCTACTGTGATACATTATCAATTTAATAGCCTCATTCCAATTTCAGCAATGTTAACATTATGGAGAAGAATATACAGAAATAGTGAAATGTATTATTTTTTAAGGGTTGATAGTAAAATCAAGTATATAGATTTTTTTTTTCTAAAATGGTTTGAATCATATGGTTTTTCTGTTAAAGGACTATATGCAGTATTTTTTAAAAATATTTATTTATTTATGCTTACATACAGAACTGGGGTACAGGCCAGAGACTCAGGGGTGGTGAGAGGATTCACCAGAGACAGAGTGGGGAGAAGAATAGGCAGATTGACAAAGTATACTGCAGAGAAGAGCAGCGGGCAGATCAGGAGAGGTCTACTGTGCCATGTGGGTCACTAAGAAGCTTTAGCTTCTTAGTGCTGTGCTTTAACCCCAGTGCTAACAGGGAGGGCCCTATATGCAGTATTTTTAAATGATATTTGTTATAAATAGCTATTGGGAAAGATAGAAAAAAATTCAAGTTGACATTTTTAATAAGGCCAGTTTCTTTTTTTATAAGGCTACAGAAAATCTGAAGAATACAGAAATGAGTATAGTAAGCTATGATCTAATCAACCAGAGATGATAACCATTGGTAACGTTAGTATATGTTTTCTTGTCTTCTGAGTTAACTATAGACCAACTGCATTTTTTATCATTGGTCTTAATATTTAAAACTATTTGACAGGGTAACATTTCAAAAGCATTGTAACCATCTTTAAAAGTGCTAGAACAGCTATTTATTACAAAGAGTAAGCACACAAGAGTTCTGAAACACTTACACTATCTTGAACTTAACAATATAAATTTACTGACATTTAAATAATTTATGTATCAATTTATGCAAATTAACTACTCATCGAGTAAAAGTTTAGTTAAAAAAAGTTTTTTTTAGGGGCCTCCCTGGTGGTGCAGCGGGTTAAAGCACTGCACTAAGAAGCTTAAGCCACTTCCGCATGAGTTCGATACCCGCCTGCCTTGGAGGTGACCACATGGCGTGGCAGACCTCTCCTGACCCGCCTGCTGCTCCCCTCAGCAGTGTACTT